AGTGTGACTGAACTTTTGGCAAAAGGAAGAATGTAATAAGGGAAATCGGGATGGGGCCTTCGGCATCGACAGAAGAAGAGAACCTTGGAATTGCCAATGTAAAAATTATGCTGGAATTTCATTATTATTACATACTATTATTGTTGCTGTGTCATAGAAGGGAGCTGCATGCCGCGTGCCCCATGCCTCCATCAACAATTTGGCGGTGTCAACGGTGTCCGCATTTGAATTTCAATGGGCATTAAAGCATAGATTGAAGCGAAGCGCAGGGCAGGGCAGGGACAACCTAAATAAGAACTTCCGCTTTTGTGTCAGTGTGGTGTGTGTGTGTGTGTGTGTGTGGCGTTGCCATATACAGGAAAAACTATGAAAAATAGTGGGACGGAGCTGCGCTTTTGGGATTTTACTAGACAAAGGGCCCTGGGGCCCTCCAACCGGGAACCCAACTGAACCGAACCGAACCGAACGGAACCCAAACAAAGCAATAGCCCAATCGCCATCCCACCTACCATATCATATGTACATCTGTATGTTTGTGTGTATTTATGTATATGGTCAACGGGCTACTCAAAATTCAATTTTCGATCTGCTGCGTTCTGTTTAGATACACTTTGCATTCTGAACGGAGTTTGACCAATAAACCCTGCCTCTCTCTCCCTTCCTCGCTGGCACTTGGCACTTATTTGGGGAGAAAACTCCACCACACTCCATGGAGGGAAGACTCGCTGGCGCATTGGTGGTGGATATTGTTCGGCTTTTAGACGGATATATATTTCTGCTTTCTGTTTTCCCAACAAGTGTCCTTCCAACCACTGCGTGAGCCTCGGTCTCGGTCTCAGTCTCAGTCTCAGCCAGAGAGGCGGAAGCGGCGCTCGAGACGTGTCGTTTGTCATCTAATTTGCATATTTTCCAAGCTATTTTCTCATTACACTTAAAATGCATTTACATATTTTCCATTTTCCTGCGGCATTTGACAGGTTGAGAGGTGGAGGGGCAGTGCAAGAGTCGTCTTCGAATGATTTAATTGAAAATACGCAAATTGTTTTCGTTGGGGAGAAAAGTGTCGAAATAAATTCGAAATTATTCGAGAGGTTTCTTCGGTGTTTTGGGCTGGGAAAACGTTTCTTAAGTTTCGTTTTAGGTTGGGTTGGATTTGTTTGTTATGCTTGAAAGCACCTGTGGGTACGTCCTACGAGCATTTTCCCAGGCTTACTTTCATATGTGTTGTGGAATAACTTTCGGATACAAGAGACGGAGCTGAAGGCAATGATAACAGATTGCAGCTGAACCTTAAGAGGAATAGAAAATGCTAACAGACAACAGCTTCTCTTCTTTGTAAACTTCTCAATAAAACAGTAAATATATGTTCCATCTGCCTTAAACCATGACTAGGCTGACAAGGGAACCAGAGCCCATGCCTCATCTTCCGACCATTAATAATAATATGATATTACCATCTTTGATAAAGACATCATAAAAGAGATACGTACGTACATATGTACGTAGGAAATTATCATGCGACGAGTATCTTTTTTAAGTACCGAGAGAGCGATCATAAAACTTCATTAATTACATGTTGTCGTCCTAAGTTTTCGCTTTTAAACAGACAATGTGGAAAATGAGAAAAAGAAAAACGGTTTTGGCCAGATAATTACAAGGGGCGTGTAGCGGTAGAGAAGAGTAAGAAAAGGTGCATTTTCGGTTGGGTCTAAGCGCCGCGGCGACGCGTGCGGCAAGGCAGCCACAAAGATCTCATGGTATATTTGACACCATTTAAAGAGCGTACCATAGACCATATAGAGAGGCCTCTCGTTTGGCTGCGACCGTGAAGTGGAGAGTGATTAATGGATTGCTCAATAGAACCGCCGATCGATGAACTCCTCCCCTGCGCCGATCGCTGCGCGTGCCCCTCTTGAGTGCCTCTCAAAGACTCTCGGATGGTGTCAGATCCGAGAGTGACAATTCGAATGATTCGATGACTCAAGTGCTGGCTCTGACCAAAATCAGAGACGAAACTAAGAGTCTCTCGGCCTGTCTGTGTCTGCCTTTTAAGGTTTGCCAAATGCTGATCTATGTTTGTTCGAGACGGTCGTGAACAGTGGGCGTTGGGTTAATTAGTGTGGGCGGATCATTAAAATTCAGACGGCGAATGCTGGGACTTCATCGCTCATCTCATAAATGCTGGAGTCGCAGTCAGAATTTGTGGCCATTAATTAGGGGCACGCGTGAGAGTATTGAGGAAGTCTCTCTCTCTCTCTCTGTGGGCTTCAGAGGTCACATGTCACAGCAAGTGGGAGGGAGGCTGCAGAGCTCTGACAATCAATGGATTTACTCCCATCTTACTCCATGATCTACACACAAGAGTGAGGTCACCTCCTCCGCTCTCCAAGTACATCCATCCCGACCCAACCCCGAGCAGAATGTGTCATGATCTCATGTGCTCATCAGTCATAGATATCCATCTCCGAATAGATACAATATACACTCGTTTTATTCGTACTCTTAGCCGAATGAAACCCGTTCACGTTCACACATTCAGTCTTGTGTACCATTGGCAAACAGAACTGCGTTTTAATTTCATTTAAACGTTCTAGCGTTTCAGCGTTGTGTTTGTGTTTGTATTTGCTGGGGCCAAAATGTGTTAAATGTATTATTTTGAACGGTGTTGTTGACTCTTTGTTCATCTTCCTCGAGCTTCCGAGCTTCGAATGATATAAAAAGTTGAAGTATACAAAAATGGAGGCAAGAGAACGAAAACGAAAACAAAATCAAATAAAGACGAATACACAAAGCATAAAATGTGTGGCGCGGCAGAGAGATTGTGGGAGAGCGTTAAGAGGAACTGTCTATTCAGATAACATATATCTTTTGGCTACTATATCAAATCCGAAGTCTGCCCGCGTCTGACGTCTGCGACATTTGCAAGGATTGGGGGGTGGGAATGCTGCCAAGGTCTTTCAAAAGTCATAGATCTGACACCTGAATTGGAGTTCCCTTCGCTGGGATATCTACTATATCGGGGAATGGCAGGAACTCTTATCTGTGCTCCCCGCTCCCCGCTCCACCGCCTATCAGCTGAACAAAGAGCGAACTCAATTAAGTAAAGCCACGTTAATGAACGGAAATAAATACATGGAATACTTATTACATACGAGTGAGTATTTATTTATAAGCAAAACGCACACAAAAACACAAAAAGAGAGAGGAAATTTGCTTGTTATCTTATCAATGCCCCACTGAGGGCCCCCACAAACAACAGCAGAGTACGCAAAAAACAATATGTACTCGTATATTGAAACACTTGTGTATAATGGGAATCGAATCCGAATGGATTCCGAGTAGAAGTACTCGTAAATAAACTTTAGAGAAAAATGTGGCGCAGCAGGAAAAGTGCATAGAGAAATATAAAATAAGATGCCTAGTGGAAAACCCTGTAAGAAGCGGATAGAATCGAGCTTAGAATGAGTACTTAAAATATGTATTTTCCATATTTAATGATTCATACCCCCAAAGCAACAAACACATACATACATACATACGAGTGGATCACAGTGAATCCATTTATAATCCCTCACATATCGCTACCGATCAATCAGGTGTAATCTCCCTGGCAGATCTCTTCGGCCCAGAATCAGTTGACACATTTCCCTAACCCCAACACGTACCGCAGCGCTATGTGGCGGACACTTAACACTAAACAAGACAACCCGAGAGGCAGAGAAGGAGAGATCCCAAAAGATAAGTTAGGACCGAGGCGAGACAACGCCTTAGCACTTGGCACTTGGCACATCTTCCCATCTCTGTCACTCACTCACTCACTCTCTCTCTCTCTCTCTCTCCCCGTTTGACGTCATTAAGTGGCATTGGTTGCAGTGTGTCAATGCTTCCCACCTTCATTCCGCCCCATAGCCATCGCCTGCACGTGTACCCTTGCGAATCCACCTGACACTGACCAAGAATCGGGGACCCGCATTCTTGTTTCGGGAATGTAATCGATAATTGCATGCTAAATGCCAAATGCCAAGCACGGGGGGAACGAGCCACAAATAGCCTCAAACTTTGCTTGTTTGCCGTTGTCACGGCTACACTGCGACTGGAAGGAAGTCAATGCCGAAATATACAAATGTGAGTCAGTGTTACAATGAGGCCTTTCCCTTCCTTCTATCGCCAGAAATTGTGATATTCCTCCTCCCATAACTTTCGCTCTCTACTCTTTTTCTTCTTTTTTTATCGACCTTTCACTCTTGGTCGCATGGCTATTCGACAGCGCCTCTTTGATAGAAGAAACAAAGGGGGGAAAGGAAAGGGAAAACATTTTGCAAACTTTACATGTAATTTTGATGCAAAAAATAAGACATAATGTTGCCATAACTTTGGCATAATAGACCCTAGACGGCGGATGATGGGGAGAGGAGACCGCAGTCGGAACTGAGGAAGTCTCAATGGGAAACTGTGTCAGATTGCATTATATTCGCTGTGGATGTGGATGTGGCTGTGGCTGGGGCGCGTTACAACACCACACCAGCGTTTGCCTCACACTTTGACACATGACACGCGATGTGCCATATCCGAAAGGTTATTTTTGTTATAATGGAAACGGAATGGCAAACACAGAAATAAATACAAAAGTCTACTTGGACTGTTGCACATTAAATGTTTTAATAAAGCTTAAGGCAAGGTCACCGCCTAACGATTTTCTTGTTTCATATTTCCATTTTCGACTGATGTAATTAACGAAAGTGCACCAAATGTTTTTTGGTTAAATGATCTGTGAGTTATAATGAACTAAGCATTAGATATTTCTCAAATGGTTTCATTAATGGAGTGGCGAAATATATAGATGTGTGTGTGTGAAAGGTCACAAGGTGGGCACTTAAGGTGGGATGTTGAGAGGTGTACAATATAGTAAGTGTTCCGGTTTCCTAGTGATACGCTTTGAACCGCCCTACTTAATGCTATCCGCTCCACGATGGTCGCTTTACATCGACACTGTACCTCACCTGATTTGCGTTTCTCGGAGCGGTCGGGAACCACCAAGCTCTTGGCCCGCTTCACCCTCAGAGAGCGTCTCCTGATGGAGCGAAGAAAGGCTTCGGGCATCCTGGAGAACCGCTGCGGCGTCTCGGGGGCCTTGGTGCGCTCGGGCAGGAAAAAGTTCTTGACTGCCAGCATGATCGAAGAGTATCTGACGATCTACTCTGCTGTTGAAAGGTACTCCCTTTGGGGATTTTCTTTTCTTTGGTTTGTCTTTGTTTTCGCTATGGGGGCGGGGGCGCGGGCGTTTGTGTTTGTGTTTTTGCGCGTGTTGGCAATGAAAAGTGTTTTCGCTATTTCTTAGTGGGCTTTTAGCTTTGCTTTGTTTGTTTGTTTTGTTTTTTTTGTCTAGTGTAATCCTTTCTGTTTTCGCGTATTTCCACGGCGAGTATCTGCATCTATTTATACGATATGTGCACTTATTGGCTTCCTCGGCCACATCTTGGCAACTTGTTGGGCTCGGCGAGAGATGATGAGCGGCGTTGAATTTGCATTTTGCATTTAGCACATCAATTTGTGGTACGAGTATGACTAACACTTTCGGTCACTTTGTATTCATTTATTTCATAAAAAAACACTTTATTTGTATTTTTATGAGTGACGACACCGATTCACCGCAATTTATTTTTGTTTATTATTGCTGGCCCCTGGCAGTATATTGTAATCCAGAAAAAATACGCGAAATCATACGCGGCGGCCCTAACACTCGGAAACGGTAACGAAAACGGTCCGCTCTGCACGTCCAAATCGACCGCTGTCTGAGAAACGAATGAGTACGAATGAATGTGAATCAACACTGAATGGGAGAGCGCTAACATTGCGCTAACAGTGCGCTAACTGTGGGCTAACAGCGACATGTTAGGCGGCAGCAGCTGTTGCCACGTGCTGTTAACAGCTGTGGCACGAGGCAGGTAGAAACAAGAGAACTGTCGCTTACAGCTTGTTGCTGTTTCTGTGCCCAATACGTACAATCGAAACATAATACTTCTGCTTCCGTCCACAGCAGCGGAAGCCACCTACTGCTACTTGGAAGCTTATCAAAAAAAAAGAAAAAAAAGTAAATGAATGAACAAGAAATTGCACAAATTCCAGAGGAGTAGGGGAACATTTGACCTGGTGCTAATCGTTGCAACGCAATTTCTGCCTGATTCAATGTTTTATAAATAAACATTTGCATTAACTTTATTATTAATTATTCCAGCAAAACGAATACTCCTTCAAAAATGATAAGCTTTATCGTGGCAGAAAAATGTTAATGGAAGATGCCAGATAAAACGAGTATGAAACTAAGGGTACTGAACATTTAGTATACGTACACTACGATATGATTGGAATTGGTTGGCAATTAGTCGACAGCCTTTCTTACAATTTTGAATCATTTTTGTGTGCTGCTAAAAGTGTACAGCCAATAAGCAAAATCTAGATGTTTTGTTAAACCATTGCTCCAAGTTTTAGGAACTTTGAGCAACTAACAACAGAAATTAAAAATGGTTGCATTCTTTAATGCATCCACAATTTTATGTAGTTCCTATTATTATTATTATGCGGCTCGTAGCGCATTATCTAGGTGTAAATGAATCTCTGTTACCTCCACTATGAATCTGTAATCAAACTCCTTCTGTAGCTGCCTTTACATTAGCAGTCCCATACCAACCAACCGATCAAAATCGGTTTAAATCGACACACACACACACCACCACACATTCCCTGATAAGATTAGCAAGCAGCAAGAGAGCTATGTAAAGGCCAAAGAGCGAACAGAAAAACAAATTGTTATTCGTTTTGGGGATGATATGAGAGCGAGAGAGAGGGAGGGAAAGAGAGCAAACATCATACGGAAATCAAAATGCAATAATAAACATTTAGTACGCGGCGGCTGTTGGCTGTTGCTGTTGTTGCCAATGATGATGATTTTGTTGCCAATGATGATGCTTGGGGGATACTCGTGGAAGACCTGTGCAACTCCACCGCCTCACTTCCCGTCTGAATCGGCTCCCAATCTGGGCCCCCGGTGGCCTGCATCAGCGGCAAATGCAGACAGACACCGTTTTGTGGTTATTGTGGCTATAGTACCCTTGCCGAGGATATAACTGATTTTCCCAGATGTTTGCAACGCTGAAACAAGCTCAAATAAACTTAGTAAATATATGTAGATGTAGCTATAGCTGTTGATCATTCAAATGTGTAAGGTAATGGGAAGGGTATCTATAGTTCGTATGCTACAGTTCCGATGTTATCCTGCTGTCTTGTTTTTAGTTGGGGTTTCGGTTAGTGGGCCGCTCGGGGCTGCTGGTGTGTTTTGCTGCGAGTTTACTTCCTATACAGAGAGAGAGAGAGGGAGAGGGTGAGAGAGAGACGAGATGATGCTGGCGGGGACGGTGACTCGAACATGTGCTCACAATACGAGTATACATTGGTATTATCGGGCAAGTAATTTGTCGATTGTTGTTTTATGCAATGTGCGATGAACACAGTACGAAATTGTCTGTGAAATGAAAGGGGGAACAGGGAGCTGGGGGGCTGGGAGGATGCCAATAAAAAGTGGAAGTGAAATGGAATCAAGTTGTGAACGCAATCAGGTGTGGAATATTGGCTGGAAACTCTTTGCTTCCGCTTTTAAAGAGATTTCTGCGAGACATATCCAACGGATACTGCAACTTCATATCTACGTTTGGTATGATTTCGCACCTCATCAATGATAAGGTTCCGTAGGTCATTTAATCTCACATTTAAGATCTATCACGAGCGAAGTAACCTCCCCTTTATAACCATGTAAATGGTAACCTTTTGTTGAATAACAAAGTGCAGTTCGCTTTCAGATTACATCTCCCACAATCGCATAGATTGGCCCTAAGCGCGCGAATCCCAAAAGCGACACGTGAACTGCATTATGAGCACTGTGTGCTCCATAATTGGACACGCTCGCCGACTCACTTATCGGGGCCACACGCCGCACTTTACGGCTACGAGTACCAACGCAAGAAAAGAAGAAAAAGAGAGGAAACCAACCCAATCCGAATCGGAACTGGAATCGCAAGCGGGGACACACTTTGCGACTTAATTAGACGACATCAGCGTCGCGCGGCGACATTGAAATACAAAGCAGCCAAGAAAATGTTGAGCATGGGATGGGAGGGCGGAGTACAGTCATTGACAGCACGACATCGCACGCGATTGCAGTGGCAGCTCTGCAGGAGAGTGGGTGGTGGGTGGTGGGTGAGGCAAACCACCCCGAGGGGAAAACTATGCAGGAACAGGAGCCGGGAGCAGTAATACTCAGCAGGGTGCGGCTGCTACCGTACACACTTTTTTATGGAATTTTAATGGAATTTCTAATCAACCTGCGACACAAGACGTCGCGGCGGCGGCACACCCCGTCTGGGTCGCACCCCCGCACAAGGAGCATTCCAGGGGCCAGACTTGCCCAGATTTCGCACTGACGCATGTTGCACACGAACCATGCGTCCTGCGTCCTGCGTCCTGAGTCCTGTCCTCCCCAGCCCAGCAGAGGGTTGGTTGCACTTGTGGGTGGGTCTGCCCTTCGGCATTTGCGACACTTTCCGTTTCAATTGTCCCAGTTCTGGCTGGCCCCTGTTTGTTCCGTATGAAATCATCGAGATACAAAACACCAAAAAGTTACATTAATGACGTTAATAAAATTGCTGTTTGCTGTGCTTTTAAGGGTTAAAAGTTTTCAATCTAGTGCTGCTCCGTCCCCGTCCCCTTCCTCTTCCTCTACACCCCCCTCTCGGCAACCAGCCCGCGGGCTAATTGTGACTCGAGGGTGCACTGGGTCGCCGTGGCTTTGGGGTGTTCTCAGTTCTCAGTTCCCGGTTCCCCCATCCACCGACTAGCAGGGCAATTCGTTAGCAATTTTAATTGCTAGCAATTGTTTCAGGCAGGGGTGCACATTGTCCTGGGGGAGGGGGCTACTAATGAAATATCTTACAGGATTCGAATTAAAGAATTGAAAACTAAAACTGGAAACTAAAATACAAGAAAGAGAATTTCACTTGATACTACCAAAAGAACTTTGCCAAGTCGAGAATATAATACCCCCTTTTGCGACTACTTCCCTGATATTCCCCTGAATGGGAGTACGGGTACGAGTATGTGCAAACAAATTAGGCATCCCTCGCAGGACCATGGCTAACCGCGAATCCTGCACCCTGCACCCCGCACTGACATTTGATACTCGCACTCCTCACCCGCACCCGCACCCACTCGGAGAGCTTGTTGGGCAAATATTGCAGGGCTTATCCGGGTTCATCATGGATGACTTTAACACAATATACAGAATACAGAGGGTTGGGGTGTTGCCCTCAGATGCGATTTGTCACAACCCATGTACGAGTACGAGTACGAATATTGCAGAGGGGAACTTATGACAACCCATTCATTTGATTTAGTTGAGTACATTTACTGCCTATTTGAATATTTGATATTCTGACTCGAGTGGAGGAGCAGCACCATAGAGGGAAGGGAGGGAACTACTACTGCCCGTATGCCTCATTTGAGGAGGAGGAAATAAAATGATGGAAGAGCTTTTTTTGTGGTCCCAGGTGGCATGATTCATGATTTATTCCAAAATTTCAAATGTGTGTTCCTCTGGGCATATGATGATTGTATATCTATTTATAAAATATGTATCTTAAATTATCTGCAATGAATTGACACACAGATTAGGAATAAATTGCGTAATATGGATTTACAAGAAGGGATTACAAAGGTATTGAAGCTCAAAGGAACTCTAACCCCTCTTGGAAATAATTAAATTTCTCATCCTTTGGCAAATCTATTCAATACCCATCAGCATCCTCATCCGCAGCTAATTTCGTATTCATAATTTTCATAATTTGCATGGAAAGTCATTTTAGAGTTTTCACCCTTCCCTTGCCCAACCCCCTCCACATTCTCCATGGATGCAATTACAAGCGAATTAGTTCTCACGCCCAAATGCGCTTACAGATTGGCCATGGACATAGCCATAGCCATAGCCATAGCCCGCCAGCAGGGATGGGGCTGGGGCATTCTTACACCTCATTCTCTTAAACCCTTCGCCATAATTAATAATTCATAATTTTAACCGAAATTCCCTGTTCCTTCAGGTTTTGCTACCGGCACCGCCACACACTACGAGTATCTGCCATTTGCCAATTTCAAATCAGGAGCAGCGTAATGAAGCGTGAACCGCTTCAAGGAACATTTGCGAAATCTGTGAGGTCCATGAAATTGCTCAAGGATAGAGGATGCTCCCTCCGCTTTTCCTTGCCATAATTTTCCACTGAGATGTGACATAATTATTAGGGTAAAAAAATAAAACCCTTCATTGCAAAAATGAAAAAGAAAATTAAAAAGAATATGGTTGGTCTTCGCCTTCGTCTTCCTCCCTTCCCCTTTCCCCTTTTCCCTTCCGCGTTCACGTTGAGATCGCTGTCTGTGGACATAATCAACGGTGGCTCTTCCCTGCTGCCCCCCATTGCACTTTTACGCAAATTGAGTTGATTAATTTAAATGTGGAGACCAGGGAGATACACATGGCATCGAGTATATCGAGAGGGATCTGGCGGGGGCTAACTTCGTTGGCCAAAGGGCAAAATTGCAGACGGCAGAAAATCAATAATTTTAATGGCCCTTCCCGTGGAGGGAGATTCCCCCATCAAATGCAGGCCCATGAATACGAGATACATACATACATACATACTTATAAATATATATTCATTCATGTGTCTGTGTGTCTGCGCTTGTTAATGCA